ATACTGCCAAAGTGTCACAATAAGTACAAACATAATGGCCGTGTACCGATAGATACTGCGAGCACTGCTCAGTGTATTCACTGGTGAAAAATTCGTTTTGTTATGGACTGCCAGTATATTGCCGCAGTACCCTAGAGAAATATATGACATCATAAATCGCCGCCATTTTTGTATTGTGAACACTGGCGCTAGCCAGATAAGGTGCTCTCAGTACTTTGATCACATTATCAAAAAATAACAGCGCCTATAGATTTAGCAGCTTCCACACCTTACAGTTGTCACAGTGTATATCGGAACACATCCAATATTATGTGTTATTACTTATTACTCTAAGGCCAATGTCAAAAACTTAACAGTCTGTGATCAAACACATCTGATCAGTCACACAGAGTATAGATTGTCCCCAAATAACTTTGAAAATTGCCATCAAATGATTACTGAGAGATTTTGACTAAATAAACCTTGGATAAAGTATCATACGATTTATTCAAGGAATAAACTGTGAATTTTATGCAATTTCATATGTTTATTTTATATTTTGTTTATTAGGTATATGTATACTATATATTAATGTACAAATGAAAGTGAAATACAGCTTACTCAATGTACAAACCTAAAATCTTAATGAATTACAGTCGAATTTCAACCACTAGTATCTTTAAGTATGTGTATTATACACATACATAAGATGTAAATATGTATTCCAACTTGTTTTAAGAAAGCAAACAACGTGAAAATCCAGAACGGCAGCGCACCGTCAGATGTAGTTTGGATTTCTAATGAATGCTCATTATGAGATGCCTTCACTCCATCTAGAGAGGTTAAGTTTCGAAATCCGTCATTACATATAAAAAAGCGAAACTCTGTCCATCCGTATGTAGATAATTATGCTAATAGATTAAACGAAATGGTTGCTTTCAAATTATTCAACTTTGTCGACTTGAAACATTTTAAGACATAATATTTTTTTTATAGAATAAGAGTTATAAACGGGTACACAGTTCTCCTGATGGTGAATGAATATTATGGTCCATATTTGATTCCTCGGACGTGTAGTTTCCTTAAGGATGTTTTCGTTCACCACGGATCATATTATTTGACAGATTAAAGAAAGTTATTTCCTCATCCCTTAGCAATATTTACATTTAACATAATATGTACTTTGTACGTGTTAGAGTCTAGAGCTCTAATATGATTGTGACACTAACGGGTCAGCTCGACCGGAGAAAGACTATGCTCTCACAGAATATAATAGCAGCTTAGTGCAGTATATAATAGCAGCTTAGTGCTGCTGTGTTTCGAACCGGAGACCCTTTTTGTCGAGAACGAGGTATTCCATCTTAGCGCTCAGGGATGCAACGCATCTGCATTTTTAATCGAGTATATGTCGCAGTGCTGTCACATACACATCTATCATGTATATGTCACAGCACCCACTTACCATCAGGTAGACTGTGTGCTCATTTGTTACCCTTATTCTATATAAAAAAACACCATCTTTCGATATACGATAATTTCCAATGATACTATCATTTTATCACTTACCGTACTAAACACCCTTCAATATTCTTTGTTATGGATATTCCGATAAACTGCATCATTCGTCGGTCGTACCAAATATATTACGAGTCGCATTACTTCGCACGCTACGCACTTCCACATTGTGCAAGCGTGGGTTTTTTATTGTCTCACATTTATGCGCATTAATAAATAAACAGTTACATGAACATTACGCATACGGATTCTTATGCTTCGATCCGTTATATGTTAACACAACAACTATTGTCAACATAAAAAAAACATTCTTTAACAATATTAAACAACAGATTATCATTAATAAATACATAATAAAAATGGACTTCGAATATTTTCGAGAGATTTTTTAACACGTAAATGGTTAAACAAACCGACCCTGGTAGAAGCGAACCGTGGCAAATTTATATTTACTGGACAAATAGAGGCGCGACGGATGGACACGAATAAACATCACGTATATAGTTAAACAAGCTTCGGAACGTGTTAGTGTGTCACAAGGTCGGATGCTGGGACCGCGGCTTTACCATGGGATTAACACATAATCTGTACAGTAATAGAAGACAGCGGTGTATCGACAACAATGATTACTAGTTAATACGTTGATTTGTATTATTTTTACTTTCTTTCAAGTGTGTAGTAGCTATATGGAAGCGAGACGTATGTCAGGATCGTGCCAAATGGAAACCCGTAATCTCCACCTACCACTCTGGGTACAGGCGTGAGTGTTTATGCATTTATAATCTTTTAAGTATCAGTACAAAACCAGCTCCATCGTTAAAAATGTAATATATAAAAACCCCAACTGCGTAAAAACGTTTACTGAACAGAGGAAAATTTTGTAATCTTTGTCACCTGCACAGTTAATATTAAGACGAATCTAATGACAACTCTCATCACTACATCTCTTATCTTAAAATCCATCAAAATGTTTAGGCTACAGAGCGTGCCAAATAACTAGACACTAGCCACGCTACAGCTTTATAAGTTGTAGTACGAATGTATTGGCTCGACCGGGGTGGAACCACGCTCTCACAGAATACCAGCGCAAAATGGCAGCTCAATGCAGCTGTGTTTCGTATGGTGAGTGTAGAGAACCGGAGACCCTTTTTATTGGTAACTAGGCATTCCACCTTAGTCCTCAGGAGTGATGACGATTTTTTTTCATTTTACAATTCTTAAGCAAGAATAAATGTAGATGTTTATGAGCCACAGCATCCACTTACCATCAGGCGGACTGTGTACTTGTATGTCGCCCATATTCTATAAAAAGCCATACATAGATAAAGAGATAATGTACTCCAAAAACATTGCTCTTCTGGGACAGTCGGGAAAATATTGATGAGGGTACATCTAGGTGGTACCTATTTCTGCTGCCAAAAAACAGTGCTTCCGCGGCTGTGTTTCGGTCTGAAAGATTTACCTGATGGTGGGTATTGGTGTACACTTGCAGGCAGCTTCAAACAAAACAAGCTGCAGTTGTGTTGTCACCTCTATAGACTAGGATGAAATGTTACCAGTAAAAAAAAGTATTCGCTTCTCGGCACTCAACACACAGAAGTAAGTGATTGCTGTGGCCCGTAGACATCTACATTTATCCACAATTATGAATCAAAACGCAGATGCGATGTCACCAGTGAGGACTAAGATGGAATGCCTCGTTTCCAGAAAAAAGGTTCTCCGGTTTCCTACACTCACCATATGAAACACAGCAGCATTAAGCTACTATTTTACGCTGATATTCTGTGAGAGCGTGGAGCGATCGAGCCGACCCATTCGTGCTGCAACTATACTACTAATATAACTGCGGTATGGCTCTACCACGTATATAAATACCATAGTTTTTCATTACACTCTAACATACATAATATACATATTCACATTCATGTATTGCCACGCTTGATCACGGATTGATAAACGTAGTTTGTTACTGTTTTGAACTTTTATCGAGAAGATGCTGCTGACCGTCTCCTGTTTTAGTTTCCCTCTGGCGCCTCATGCCCATGGGAAAATATGTGGTGGTAGATTCTCCCACACCGCCAATACACGCCACGGTGTTGTACTGGAGACCAAACATCACTTTTCTCAAGATATAAAAAATATTACCTTATTTAATTTCATAAGCTTAGAAGCACGAAATTATAGGCATTTAGGGACTGTCAGTTTAGATTTATAACGTTGGAAAATAAGGTAATAAAATATTTAAATCCGTTATCGTAATATCTACGTTAGAATATTAAAACAGACCTCATACATATTCATAAGTAATGAGATATCGAACGGCCCTTCGAAGTGGACGTGAGTAAACATTTGGGAATAAGACCGGTCCTATTAGTGCGACCCTGTGACATACAAACCTACAGGTTGACCATTTGATTAGACAGTAACGGTCGTGTTTCGCCCATCGATGTTTGGCTAAAGGGAGTCCTATTTTATTTCATGTACTTTAGAAGTATTTGAAGTTATTTAAAACATTCATATAAAGATGTAAAGATAATCGATTGAAAGAAATATCAAGAAGCAAAACATTCGAAATTAGTGTCTTTATTAAAATCATGTTTTAGATGATATAAGATTATTATCTATATCATCTAAAACATGATATCTGAAAGTTTGTTTGAATGTTTGTATGTTTATGGCTCAATCATGCAAAAACTATTGAATAGGTTTTAATAAAACTTGAATATGTTATAGATAACAAAACAAGTAGTCGTATCTTGTTTTGTTATAGGTTATAAAGTTTGTAAAAAAAAGATTAATCCTGTCTTAAATTACAGTTTTTAATCTGTGGCACAAACCTTTTGTATATTTGCCCGTGGTCAGCTCTACAATACGTTGCATTTTTACGTATTTCCAGGTCCCAAGATCTGCACGATTTCGATGAGTGTAATATAATAATAATAATAATGGCGTTGGGATGTGACGACCCCACCGCCCAGTAGTGAAAGTCGATCTTCTTTATTCTTTAAAGCATTATTGATTTTCACTGCTGCAATCAGTCTGTACCCTCCGCTGAAGAATGTTGTACCGTGTTCGGTCGCAGTTAAGCTTAGGTACTAAAAAAATTAAGCTTTGTAAACCAACGGTGTGCTCGGGGAATTGGGCAATCCCCGTTGTATTAGCCTAACCCTATATGGAGAATGGATCACGGAAATAAGCGATTAAAGCCGCTACCCGGGGGTCGCCGGGGCACGTCTGGAGCTGGCGCTGGACGTGGCAGCGTGCGAACCGTCAGTGGCCGTCAGTTACATCAGCAGGATGCAGTCAATCAAAACACTACTGCTGACATCCTTGACTCCCCTTCCCCTTCAAACAATCCTTCACCCCCTCTCAGTCATCCCCCCGTCTTAAGTGCTTCTAGTGGCTCACAACCCATGACCACTAAGGCGGGTCTCCCTCGACAGCGTTTGACGTGGAATGTACAAATAAATGAAGATGTCATGCGCTGTTAGTATAAAGCAACCAGATTGGAAGAACATCTGATAGGACATAGGGCCGAGATGTATCGACAATTTGTTCTGAAATATCCGGAACTCCGTGAAAGAGTGACAGAACAAAGAGTCATGGACCAGAAACGTCAGATTCTACGTACCTGCAAGATTGCGACGGAAAGGCTGGAGCAACTCAAAGCAGAAGTTGCTAAAGAGCTCTATCCTGGTCGCGATGTATCTAAAGATATTAGTGACCATGAGCCTACCGTAGATACTTCTGATGCATCAGAAATTATTCCGGATTCACTTACTGAATTAAGCACCGCATCTTACGAAGGGAACAAATGGTAGAGAACGAAACCTTACGAAACCTTAGAGAAGAATTTGAAAAAAGCCTCAATTGAGTTCTTGGGTACTAACCCCTTATTACGACCTAACATAGGGCGCCAAAATAATTCAAAAAAATTGGCAGTCGCGGTCAATTTGATGAACACTATCATAATTCCTGAACATCTAGCGCAAGTTGAAAATACATTTGACGCAATTCATACGACCACCTATGCGGCAGGTGTAGCGATAGTCCGATCAATTGGCGGGAAAATTGGTGATTCTACAGTGCGGGTTTCTACTCAAAGGAAAACCCCTGCTTGGGAGCGCCGTCTTACCCATGAAGTAGACACACTTCGTCGCCAATTAGGTCGCCTAACGCAGTATATGTGTGGCAATAGAAGTAAAAAAGTTTTAGCCACATATCATGAGCTTCAGAAGGATATATCTAAGCACTCGAAGTATGACCCACCAAACAGAACAGCTGTAGATATCTTAGATACTCTTCGACAAAAACTAGCAGTCAAATCCAACCGACTAAAAAGGTACCGAAAATCGCGGAAGAGAAGAGAAGACAACGCTCTTTTCACAAAAAACGAAAAGCTGTTCTATCGGCGACTCCAACAGAGCGTTAATGATACGAGTGGACTTCCCCCGCGGAAGGAGGAAGTTGAGAAATTCTGGCGTAGCATCTGGTCAGAGAAGGTGAGCCACAATGAAACCGCAACATGGATCACAAGAGAAGAACAGCGTATGCTTGAGGTCCCAGAAATGCAACATGTGGAAATTACAGAAGAGGATGTCACTCAAGCGGTGTACAAATCCCCCAACTGGAAAGCCACGGGACCCGATAAGATCCACAATTTTTGGCTTAAGAAGCTCATTGTTCTGCACAAACCAATGGCGGCGTGCTTTACTTCCTTCCTACGCGACCCCCAACTAGTGCCTTCCTATCTAACCGTTGGAATAACATATCTACTTCCCAAAGATGCAAATACGCAGGACCCTGTGAAATACCGTCCGATCACATGCCTCAGCACTTTTTATAAAACATTGACCTCTTGCCTCTCTAACAAGATCTACCAACATCTCGACCATCACTCTCTTCTGGCAACAGAGCAGAAAGGGTGCATTAAGAGATCATTGGGATGCAAAGAACAACTCACGATAGATTCAGTTATCACGGGGCAAGCGTATCAAAAGTCGCGGAAACTCCACATGGCCTACATTGATTACAGGAAAGCTTTCGACTCCGTGCCGCATTCCTGGTTGAGGGAGGTACTCAAACTTTATAAGATCGACCCTGAAGTTATCACTCTACTAGAATACTTTACGACAAATTGGCGTTAACCAGAAGATCACAACAGGGTACATACCGATAGCCGAGACAGCCTTAGCCCTTTATGGTTCTGCCTTGCACTCAACCCCCTCTCTTCACTCCTTAATGAAACAGGACATGGATATCTTATAAAAGGGGCTCAGGGATATCACCGAAAGCTGACTCACCTAATGTATATGGACGATATTAAGATCTATGCGGCAAATGAACGAGAGCTCCAAACGCTGCTTCACTGCACTGAACAGTTCTCTAGTGATATTAATACGTCATTTGGACTTGAAAAGTGCAGAACCGTAAATGTTTATCGTAGACGAATTGAGTCATCTAGAGGTTTAGAACTTCAGAGAGGTGGAAAGATCGACGCGATGACAGAAAATGACACCTATAAATATCTGGGCATCACCCAATCACTTCGAATCAATCACGGTGAAATTAGGTCGAAGATGACTGAAGTATACAACCAAAGGCTGAAAAGAATCCTCAGTTCAGGCCTAAATTGACGCAACCTCACTAAAGCAATTAACACCTTTGCCATACCAGTATTAACTTACACGTTTGGAGTAGTTAACTGGTCAGATACTGAACTGGCAAAAATTGAGAGGTCTACTCGCGTCATGCTTACTAAATATCTTATACATCACCCAAAATCAGCCGTTGAGCGAGTAACTCTATATCGAGCCAATGGCGGTAGAGGACTGATAGACATTCGTAGATTGTGTGCTAAACAGATTCGGACTCTTCGAAGTTATTTCCTTTCGCAAACGTCCTCTCCTCTGCATCAAGCAGTAATAAAGGCTGATGACCGTCTAACAACGCTCGATCTCCTTCATGCCGACAATTTCCCACCGTTAGAGACTGACGCTGAATACAAAGAAGCCAAACTCCAGCAATGGGCCTCAAAACCTCTTCACGGTCGATTCGCTAATGAACTGAGTCAACCACATGTCGACATTGAAGCGTCGAACAACTGGCTCAGACATGGTGAGATCTTTGCTGAAACTGAGGGATTCATGGTGGCGATTCAGGATCAGGTTGTGCCTACGATAAATTATTTTAAGTACATTGTCAAGACAGGTATCGAACATGACCAGTGCCGACGATGTCATCAAGAGCCAGAGACCATCCAGCACATAACTGGCGGCTGCCAGGCTCTTGCTGGAACCGAGTACACCCAGCGCCATGACAACGTGGCAAAAATTGTGCACCAAGAGCTGGTAGTAAAATACGGTCTCCTTAAGGAGACAGAACCCTACTGGAAATACAATCCATCCCCGGTACTCGAGAATGATTCTGCCCAACTTTATTGGGATAGGTCAGTTTTAACTGACCGGACCGTTGAGCATAATCAACCGGACATAATATTACTAGAAAAGGAGGAGAAGCGGACGTGGTTGTTGGATATTGGCATTCCAAACTTGCATAATGTGCAGAAGTACAGCACTGAAAAGTTTATTAAGTACCAGCGGTTAGCTGAAGAAATCCGACAATTAAGGCGACAGCAGCAGGTACCTATCGTCACGCTGATTCTCTCTACACCTGGAGTCTTGACTAAATCCCTTACTGACAATTTAGCTAAGCTGGGCATTTCAGTGAGGGTGAGGAACAAAATTCAAAAAGCCGTAATTTTGGATACGACAGCGATAGTACGTCGCCACCTCACAATTTAAACAAAAGAGCGGCATCTTGCGATCAGCCGATGCCGCATCTTAAAACCCTAAAAGGAGCGTTAATGGATAACCCATAATAATAATAATAATCTTTATTTGCAAGTATATGGTTGTACAGTGGTGTTTGAGTATAATTCGTTCTACATGTTTTACCTTAGTGGTGTGCAAATATTAATGGTCTAGTAACCTAAACAATAATACTTATCGAATTTAACAACATATATTAATTTAACAAAGTATAAAATTATTTAATATTATTTACTTGATTTGATAGTTAATTTATTATGCCACAGTGTCAGAAAAAAATTAAGTAAGTATTATTATATCAAGTAAGATTATTATTATAGGTCAATGTCATATATTAATTATTATTCTTACGTCAACAATCCTATACCTTTAAACGAGCAATTCTTGTATATATATATATATATTTTTTTTTTTTTTTTTTTTAATCGGAATCTCGGAAACGGCTCCAACGATTTTCGTAAAATTTTGTGTGCAGGGAGTTTCGGGGGCAATAAATCGATCTAGATAGGATTTATTTTTAAAAAAACGTCTTTTTGTCCGTGTTTTTAGGCAATGAAAAACTGCTAAAATATCGTTAGAATAAGAAGGTAAATTTTGATAATTTATTAATGATTACAAATAGCTTAATTGGTATATTGGGCGGTCACAAAATCGTAATACCATGGTTCGAGTCCAGACCGACCAATCGAGTTTTTTAATTTTTTTTTCAAGTTCCTTTCTTTTTTGAGAAAATCTATTTTTTCAAGCCCTTTTTTTAGTAGTTTTTAAAAACACGAAAATTTCAAGCTCTGAGTTGCAATGTGACGAACTCGGGACTGATACACAAGTGCTATCAACGATTGAATGAGGTATGTAATTACAACAATGTGACTCTGCAATGGATCAAGGGACACAGTGGATCTAGGGGCAACGATGCAGCAGATGAACTGGCAAGAAGGGGATTGGCCCTAGCAACTATAGGGCCGGAACCAATAATACCAATCCTCTTTGGCTACGTTCGTTCACTGGTACGTAGATACTTCAATAATTTACGCGCTGAGCTTTGGAAAAATTTAATAGACTGTAGACAAGCAAGGGAGGCCCTACCTGAAATAAACAGTCGTCTAACCAAGGTTCTAATGAGACTGAACAAGCCACATATTAGGATAGTAACAAGTGCTATCACAGGACATGGCTCTTTTAACAAACATTTGTTCACCATAGGTGTTACTGACAGCCCCCTGTGCCGGGCATGCATGGGAGAGGAAGAAACGGCGGCTCACGTGTTGCTGACATGTCCAGAAGTCGCTTCATACAGGGCTAAACATCTCGGCACGCCGGGATCGCTCCCCGAAGTTGCTTGCAACATCAAGGGACTGCTGAGCTACTTCGGGGGGATATCATGGCTCGAATAAACATATTATTCCTGCCCACACGCAAAATACGCGCTTAGACGTGGAGTTGCGGAAAACAGCCCGTCGTAAACTAACTAAAAACACGAAAATTTAAATTAAACTAATTGCACTCATGATTTTTTATTCAAATAACCAGTTAAGTTTTTTCTATTATGTCGTTAAGATCAAAAAATATTATTCATATTTCATCAGTATGTAATTTGTATCTAAATATAATTTTAAAAAAACCGAGCGAAAAATACCGAGCAAAGCTCGGTCAACTGGGTACTAATTATATAATGTTACATATCCAATTGTCATTAATTTCTTTCTATTTTTACATCAAATTATTAATTAATTAAATACATAAGTCAAATTTTATATAAAATAATATCAAAAACATATTTTTTTAAACATTAGAATCTTGTAATTACATAATTAATCATATTCCAAAATTATCATTCATTATTACTCGTATGTTAGTCGTTGTCGTTTAAGAACTCTTCTACAGAATAATAACATTTAGGGAGCAACAATGCCAAAACAGATTTCTTAAATGACAATAAACTTTTACGCTTTAAATTATCTAAATATAAAGTAAACCTTTATTTATTTATTAATATATTAAGGTTTGCAACTCACTAAAGGACCAACACCACAAAGAGCTCTTATGCAGCGTTTTTGTGCTTTAAATGCTTTATCCGAATCCACCGAATACCCCCAGAGTAGAACACCATATCGTAGTATGGATGAGATATATCCATGATATGCCATCAGTGCAGCTCTTTCTGATACAATATTTCTTAGTCTATGCAATGCAAAAACGAAACGATCTATTTTAGTACATAGGCTTTCTATATGAGGCTTCCAACTACAAAATTTATCAAATATTATTCCTAGAAATGTCGTGGAAAGGACTTCTTCAATTATCGAGTTGTTATATGTGAGTTTAATGTCATTTGAAATGTTTTTGCGGGTTTTATATTCAATAAATTTCGTCTTATATATATTTATATCTAAATTATTTATATTCATCCACTGTATGACCTCATTTAGAGCACCATTAGCTGCGATTTCAAGTGCAGATCTGTTATTACCTTTAACTATAAGAGTAGTGTCATCAGCGAATAAAATGCATTTGCTTGTAGTAAAGTCAGGAAGATCGTTAATGTATATCAAGAACAGCAAAGGTCCCAGTACACTGCCTTGTGGAACACCAAAACTGTTTGTAAGATATTGAGAGCGTTTTGATATCTTTGTGTTCTTTATGACTTTTGTAACTTCTACACTCTGCTTACGATTTTTAAGATAACTCTCAATCCAGTTTTGGGCTGTTCCTCTTAGTCCATACCTTTCTAATTTATCTAGTAGAAGACTGTGTGATACGAAGTCAAAAGCTTTGCTCATATCACGAAATATAGTTAAAAGTGGAGTTCGTGAATTTAAGCTTTCAGTTATAATTTTCATCAGTTCATAACATGCTGTTGTTGTGGAACAGTTTCTTCGAAAACCGAATTGTTCTGGTTTTAGAATGTTAAAGGCGCTAAGAAAACAATATAGTTTTTGAAATAATGACTAGTTTTTACGGAATTTATCGCGTATATTTAACTTTTTAATTACCCGACGTTTCGAGAGCTTTACAGCACCCATGGTCACGGGAACAAATCGGAACAAAACTTAAATTTTAATCTATGGTAACCGCGGTTAACTATGACATCTGGACGTTGAACATCTCAGTCCTTCCCGTGACCATGGGTGCTGTAAAGCTCTCGAAACGTCGGGTAATTAAAAAGTTAAATATACGCGATAAATTCCGTAAAAACTAGTATTATTTCAATGTGTAGTGTTCGCGTAAATATAAGAAAACAATATAGTTTTTCATGCACTATTTTTTCGAAAACTTTTGAGAGCACAGGAATAAGAGTTGTTGGTCGGTAGTTTCCAACGTCTTGCCTATCTCCCTTTTTATACATAGGTTTAACAATGGAGAATTTCATACATGTTGGAAATACACCCTGTTTTAGTGACAGATTTATAATATAACAAAATGGTTCTGAGATGTATTCAGCGCATTGTTTTAAAACTTTTACATTTAGTTCGTCATAACCAGTTGAATTTGTATTATTTAAAGATTTAAGTGTTTTATAGATGTCCCTAGGATGAGTTGGCGTGAGATACATACTACTGTTATTAAACAAAATATTTTTATAGTTTAAATATTTATTGGTATTATGTTTATTTGTAAGGTTAATAAAGTATTTATTGAATGTTTCAGCAATTTCCTCTGGTTTCATTAGCAGGTTCACTGCTGAGCCTTTGCACCACGGTATCAATATTATACAATCCTAACATATTTTAAAATAAAAGCAAGAAAAACGATCATGAACACAGTCAACTTGAACTTGGTAAGTTGATGCTGTGACCCATAGGCATCTAAATCTACCATATATTTATAATGAAAAAGCAGATACGTTAGCACCACTGAGGGCCAAATATGGAATTCTTCATTACCATTAAAAAAAAGTATCTTACACTAGCACTCCCTAAGTAGTTATTCCCCGGGCACATTCGCACCTCTACTACATACAGCTGCAGAGTAGCTTTAAAATTAGGTAATATCGCTGGAGTTATAAAACACTTATGAAAAACGTTAATTACGTTACTAGTAGATTTAGTTTATCGTTTTGTACTAAAACAACTATATTCCTATCTACTTCCTAACGCTCACAATAGCCCTATTGTTTTGGAATGTGTGTAAAATATAGGCTATATACGAAATTAAATAAGTTCTAAATAAGCACAGTTTTAGAACGGCACACGCTCTGATTCCCGTAGTGCGAACGAGACCAGATGATTAGATATGTATGTAAATTACGGTAAAGCGTGATTGCAGTGAGCTAAAACAGGTGTTCAAGCCACTTATGTATAATCCTATATCTACCATCTCATATTAACGTAGAGACGCTTATAAAACGTTTCCGATAGATTAACACTGTATATCCTTTTCTATCTTTATTGGGCTCCTTCAAGATTTCGCAATGCTGGTTTGCATATCTTGATTTTTTTAATTGAATGAGGGTGACAAACGAACACACAGTCTACCTGATGGTAAGTGGATGCAGTGCAAGGCATTCCATCTTGACCCTCAAGAGGAACGCACCTTAATTTTGATTTTTAATGGAGGATATGCATATTTGGATCTCTGTCGGCTTTAGTATCCACTTGCCATCGGGTGGACTGTGTGCTCGTTTGTCACTCATTTCAATACCATTTTACGTTCTTTCGATTATTTATAAATTCAACGTGATACATTTAATTAGTTCAATAATGAAATAAACATATTAAAATTAACGTGCACTCGATTCAAAAACTTTTTTGAATAACAAATAACACCATCTTAAATTCCGCACACGAAGCAGAAAAACAGAAGTACGAAAACCCTGATATCCTATATACCACAGCGCAGTAGTAAGCAGACGCTGCGACGTCGCGTCGCCTCGAGCGATTGGCATGTTCTAATACAGAGTAGCATGTTACAGACCTATAATATTTTCATAAAGTTGTTTGTGTAGCAAGTGGGAAAAATAAGAATTTTGTTTA